TAATCCATTTAGTCAATCTATGTCTCTTAAGGAGGACAGTAAGACTATTCATATTTAATGTTAGTATTGCTAAATGAGGTACTATTTTGATCATCATTTTGATTGTTACCTGGTTGCTGTGTTCTCTTCCTTATGTTATTGTTTTCTAAGAAGTATGAATTTTAACCTTTTGGGTACTTTTACACTGGTTGGTTTTGATTTTTCTGTTCCATGTATAAAAATACTTCTAAACATTTTTTGTAGGGGAAATCTAGTGGTAACAACTTCCCTTAGTGTCTTGTCTAGTCAAAGCTTCATTTCTCCTACATTTATGAAACTTAGTTTTACAGGATACAGAATTTTAACTGGTGATTTTTCTGCTTAAGGAGACAAAAGATGGGACTTTCTTCCTATCTGTCTTATAAGGTTTTCGTTGATAATTCTGCTAGTAGTATAATAGGCTTTACTTTTTACATTGCTTGATGTTTCTGCCTCACATGGCATAGGAAATTCTCCTTCATGTTGTCTGTGGCAGCTGATGCCTCTCTGCCTCCCTGATGCCCTTCTGACAGTGAATCTTGCAGGTGGCAGGTGTTCATTTGGCTTCTTGTATCTGGATGTCTGATTATTTAGCAAGATCAGGGAAGTTTTCCTCCATTATTCTCTCAAATAGGTTTTCTATGCCTTATGCTTTTTCTTTTCCACCCTCAGCAATGCCTGTCATTTTTATATTTGGCCATGTACATAATCCCATATTTCTTACAGATTCTATTCATTCCTCTTGCATCTTTGTTCTTTATTTTTGACTGATGGGGTTAATTTGAAAAAATTTCCTTTAAGCTCTGAAATTCTTCTGCTTGGTCTAGTCTCTTCTTAAAACTTTTCACTGTGTTTTCTATTAACCTCAATGACTTTTTTATTTCTAGAAGTTTGGGTTTTTTATTTTTAAATAGACTTATCCCATTAGTAAATTATTCATTCATTTCCTGAAATTGTTTAGTTTTGTTGAGTTAGTTTTCTATTTTATCTTTTATCTTATCGAGCTGTCTTAGAATTCATATTTGGGGTTCTTTATCTGTGATTTCAGTATTTTCATTGTGTCAGAATCCACTGCTGGAGAGCTGGTTGTGCTCCTTTGTGGTTTCCTTTCACTAATTTTTCATACTTCTGGAGTTCTTGCACTGATTTCTCCTCATCTTGAGCAACTGGTGCTTCTTGGTTTTGGATTTTCTTTGTTTAGATGGGATTTGTTTCCTCCTCACTCTTAGTGGTATGCCTGTCACATATGTTTGGTAAGAATATTTGGCTTTGCTTGTGGGTATTTTGATGGTGGTTTATGTTCTATATGGATACCTGGGTTAGAGATACCTTTAATGTGGTAGCTTTTTGATTGCTAGTTAATTGTAGGCTGTAGCAATTGTGCACTGTGTGATGGGCAGATCCCCTATCTGTTGCTGACAAGAGGAGATGGAGATCTTTGAAATCCTTTCTCTTTCCCCAGCCTTATGGTTTTCTTAATTAACAGTGCGAACTATATTGGGATGCTTAGTTTAATCTCTGAGACAGCAGGTGGTACTTACGGTTAAGAATCAGCCCAGCCCTGCATGATGTAGTGATTGTGTTATATGCTGTAGAAGTAGTCCTGCCTACCAGTAGATGGCACTGCAGGAAACTCAGCTGCTTTCATGGTTTTTGAGACATGTGACCAGCTCTAGTCAATCAGGAGGAGCACTCAGATGCCCCTGTAGAGGGGCAGGGAGGCTGCAGCTCCCTGGGGATTCTTTATTTTCCACCACCACCGAGGCAGGTGGAGAAGTGAGACTGGGCAGGGCCAGGGTCAGATGAGCCTGTGTTCCAGTCCCCACAAAGGTGGGCACAAAAACTGACTCCTTAGAGGACATGGGGCAACTCCCAGGCTGCTGGGGGAAGCCATCAAGGAGAGGCTGATGTAATTCCATAAGCCAAAACATCTGTAATGAGGAGGGACAGTCTAGAATTCATATTCTGGCAGGTGGGAGTAGGTTTCACTTTTCTGTCTATTCCCTTGCCCCATGGATCTCCTTCCAGTGTCTGGCTGCGCTTAGTAGCCCCAACTTGTGGAGCTCACTAGCAGTGGTGACACAGGCTGGGAGCTTCCCTCCCAGGATCCCATGCCAGGTTGAAAGTGTGACTACTGTGCGGGCAGGAGCACTTCAGAGTGCACTGTGACTTGGAGCTACTCTGCACTCTCCTTTAATTCTGCCTATGTGGGTGCCTCACTCCTCAAGATTGGTTCACAAATCTCCCCTCAATGCCCCCAAGCAATATGGTGGAATTCTGGGGCAATAGCAGGCATCCTCAAACTAAGGCCCACAGGCCACATGCGGCCCGCCTAGGACATTTATCTGGCCCAGTGGGTGTTTTTGCCACCGCTGCCTGTCCTGCTTAGCAGCCAACTAGTCCCAGGGCCTGCAGTCCGGTCCTCCAACAGTCTGAGGGCAGTGAACTGGCCCCCTGTTTAAAACGTTTGAAGACCCCTGGGCTATAGGATCTAGCCTGCAGGTTTGTTCCCTAATCCCAAGTTCTACCCCTGATGGTGCCATTGAGAAGCATGCTTGTTCGGAGTTGCCCCTGGAGTGCTCAAGATTATATGCTCTGTTCTTCTGGACTATCCAGGAGCACAACACTGGAGAGGGTCAGTGAGCAGGGAGCTCACAGTCAGAACACCCTTTGGTATAATGCAAGTCTTTAGGAGGAGAGGTGAGACCCCCCACTCTCTGTGTGTTAGGCACACTACCAGAAAAGAAGCATAGCACCTGAGGGTGTCAGCACAAGTCCCTTCAGGCACCGTGTCAACTCATGTGGGAACTGCCACAGCTCCATTGCTGGCTCTAGACAGGAGAGAAGAGGAGGAGGAAGAAAAGAGTCTACGTGGAGGAAAGCCAGCATTCTTGGCTTTGTCCCCGGGAGGCCCCTGACTTCCTGCACCCTCCTGTCCTTTGAAGGGAGCCTAGCCTGAATGTCCAAGCTCTGGGTCACACTGAGCTGCAGTTTGGGCAGGAGACAGGACATGTTTGCGTCAGGACAAGTGACACAAGAAAGTGGAAGGGCTGAAGCTCCCTGGAGAGAATGAAAGCATATGATGGGTGGAGAAGCAGTGTGGCACCTGCACCTTGACTCAGAGCTCTGGGGATGGGGAGTGACCCTACGGGGCTGGCAGCCCAGTTCTGACGAAGAGCCCTGTAGGGCTTTTAGGCACAGGAGGGTTAAGAAGCTCTTCAGCAATTAGGGAGCCAGTGGTTTACCAGAGATACGAGGGGAGGAATACCAGACGCTCCCACTCACCCTTTCCATGGAGCTCCAAATTGGTCAGGCATTGGGCTCTGCCAAAATCTTGTCCCTTCTCATTTTGCTCTTCAGCCTCTTCTCATGAAAGCTGCAGTGGAATCTGTCACTCATCCCTCAGAATTATACCTGGCTCAGGTTTGGGGTTTTTTTTGTTTGTTTGGTTGCTTTTTTTAAGGTAAAACTATTCCTACTTTCTGAGATGATCTGGCAACCGGTGTCTCTAGTCAGCTATATTGCCTCCCCCTCTTACTTGATTTTTATTTAATATATGGTAATTACTTATTACAAAAGAAAATTATTTTAGATACAAAAGGACCTAATCATTATTTTTAATTGAAAAAATGAAAAAATATATATTAATTTTTATCATCACTATTATCTTCATTATCATCATCATAGAGTTTAAACCAACAATCTTGTTCTCTCTCTCTCATGATTTTCACTGACTGGGCTCAGCTCATCAGTCCCTTGGCTTCATGTGGAGTTGCGAGGCTCTGCAGTTAACCTGGCCGGCTGGCTCTGTGCTCAGAGCTTGTCTAGGTCTGGGAGCTTGGGCAGCTCTCTCACCCTCCAGGTGCTCTGTGTGATGTGGACCTCAGCACAGCAGCAGTCTTGGGAAGAGAGAGTTAGAAAAGGAAAGTCGAAAGCTGCAAGGCGTCTTAGGTCCTAAAAGAGTCACATAGCATCCTGTCTGCCGTGTTCTGTTCCTCACAGGAAGTCACAGGGCAAGCCCAGATGTAGGAAGTGTGGGGAAAGACTTTACCATTTGCTGGGGCAGTAACAAAGTCACACCTGCTAACAGGCATGGGGTTGGGAAATACAGTTGCAAGTATCTTGGGAAATAACCTCTGCCACATTTTATCGAAGTTTGAAGATATTCCCTGTGTATAGATGTTACAAGATCTCCAAGATATGTTGCTGGGTGAGAAAAGCTAGATACAGAACAGACTGTGTAAGGTAAAGATATTAGTGTTAGAAGTGAGGAGAGAATATGTGGGTATCTTATGTCTATTTTAGAAGTCTCTCAAAATAAAAGAAACCAGTAAAAATGGGTACCTATTGAATTTGGAAATTAGGTGAATAGGGAACGTAGTGAAAGGCTTTTCACATAAATATTATCACATATTCTATAAACAGTTTGAATAGTTAAATAAATCACTTCTATAATTTAAAAAATCCACTCTGACTACATTTTTTAAAAGCTGTATCTCACTGTTATTCCACCTTAGAACTTGGACTCTCATCATTTAAAGGAATTTTAAATGTTGTTTGGTCCCATCATTTATGTTAATTAAAATCAGAAGCAAGTCTGTTGATTTCTCAATATGTAGTCATCCAGCTTATATGTGAAAATTTACTTCCAAGAAAGTGAATTCTGTTGCTTAACAATTTTAGAACCCTCCAAACAAAAATTCTTGATTTTTAAGTTCAATGTCTTTGTTGAATATACTGAACTACTGGTTCACAAGACACACTATTGAACATAGGCATTGCTATAACAGTTTTATGACCTATTTCTGTATTTCAAATTTCATTTAATTATAATCTAAAATATGTTAATTTCATAATCTAGCTTTATCTAAGAAAGATTGGTGTATAATTAGTATTTCAAATACTGGAATTTGATTATTGAAAAAAGTTAGACTAACCAAAGCTGTTAAGAATAATAATTCCAAAGGTATTTTTCTTTTTAGATTATTGTGCCATGCTATGAAGGACCATATAGTTCGTGTTGCAAATGAAGCTGAGTTTATTTTGAACAGACAAAGGGCTGAGGATGTACACAAACATGCAGAGTTCGAGGTAAGGTTTGGAGATCAATTAATTACACTGAGCTTTTCTGTTTATTATAAGTCAGCTGTTACCAACCTGTAACCTTACATGAGGAGTTTTTCTTTTTTTTTAAAGGGAAATTTCACTGAAGGGGTTTCAGTTCCTGTTTTTTAAAGCATTAGTGAATGTCAAAACACAAAGCACTAATTTATTTTACCCCATTTACAACATGAAGAAATCCCTCCTGCCCTGTGTCTGAAGTTGTTCCAACCCACTCTACGAATAAAAGCAAATACAATATTATAATGCAGTTACTTCAGTTATTTTAAGCTACCAGAGGTTTACACACCACTGGGTAGATATGAGCATATGCTAGAGTTATACGAATAAACTCATGAATGTCAACAAATCTCCTAATTTCTGTGCTTTAAATATAGCAGTTATTCAATACTTCTGTTCATTTTATTTATAGCAAAATTGGTTTCAGAAATATTTAAGTCACCTAGTGTTTGACTTAAGGCTCGACTCACAGTTGACTTGAAAGTAATAAATGACTTCACCAATTTATCCTCATGATACAACATGCCAACAAGTACCGTGTGGCTAGACATTGGAGGTTACAATTCCAGTTTTGATGAGGTTTTTATCTCAGTCAAGCAGCTCTCTGAGTCATATGAGTTGATGGACTAGGTCTACTGATCTCTGACCTAGTGAGATGAAAAGCGTGCAACAGAAAAATAGCTGTTGTTGCTTTGTACACATAACCTCTGCTTCATTTGGTCCAATGAGAAAGCAGGCACTTGTCTTTTGGAAGAGAAACATCAGTATTTTGAAAAAGATGCCATCTATTTTAAACTTTGATGTAAGTATCGTGATCTTTAAGTGTTTATCAAAGTGGAATTTTATATTACTTCAACAATAAAAAACATTGGATATTTATCAAGATATCATGCAATAATCTGGATGACAAGACAAGATTTAGTGATCTGTTTTTTAAAGAATATGTTTAGATATAAGATATATCATAACTCTACAAAATAACAGTAAATTAATTTTCAGCTTCTATTAGTAAGATTTGGAAACTTACCTGAGTTTCATCCTGGTTCGGTTTTTAGTTAATCATATTTCCATTGAGAAAATCACAACATTTGGGGGGGAATATAAACAGACCAATATTTGCTGTGTAAAATTAATGGATTTTTAAGCAGCTAGGTATTAGTTATGAGTTTTAACACACATTTAACCAGGGTGGTATTTAGCTGAGAACCATGCTTCACTACCATTTCTTTTTTGTACTGCTCCCCTTAGGAATCATTTAAGACATTTATTTCCTAATTCCACCCCAACTCAAGGAAATTACAGTACCACTGAGATGCTATATATATGTTTGTGTACTGTATAGGCATCTGTACTTCGTGCGTTAAAATAACAAGATTTCTTACCATCATCCCCGACACAGTAGTTTCCATTGCCTCAAGGATGAGACCCTTGCCATGTGGACGCCTGTCTGAAAGTGATAAGAGGTTTTAATGAGGACATGATGTCTTAGTTTTTTTAGATTTTATATACATAAGATATAATATTAATATAAATCTAATTTTGAATGTATTGCCATTGTTACTTAATGAATGTATACTTTTTTAACCCATATGTATTTTACATCTTTTTTTAGGTTAGAACTACATTACTAAATGCATTGATATTTCTCTGTGTGTGTGTGAGAGTGTGTGCACGAGTGTGTGTGTGAGTGTGTGTGTGTGAGAGTGTGTGCACGTGTGTGTGTGTGTGTGTGTGCGTGTGTGTGTGTGAGAGTGTGTGTGTGTGTATGTGAGTGTGTGTGCGTACTTTACCAAAAACTTACAACTTTCTTTTAAGAACTTACCACTTTTAAATTGTAAAACATTTTACAAAAGTTAAACATTTTACTAGGACTTTTTGAGGGATTTTTCTGTCCCCACATAAGCCTGTATGTAGGAGAATATATTTAATATACATTTTAATTTGTATATTTAATTTTAGATAAGTACTTTACAGTTAAGTGTTTTTAGTTAAGTACCATAATTGTTAAGAAAGAAAAATGAAAATTTAATTTTACTCTCTAATGAGCTAATGAAATATTAACCTCATTACTGAGGCAGATCATTGTACTAATTGGTGATTCCCTATACAAAAAGATAAATTGGAAAATGAATTAATCCTTACATTGCTATAGGATTATTTCTTCTGAAGAGAGATGACTTAGAGTAGTAGCCTAAATCAGTATATAGACAGAAGGGGTATGTTCAAGTACCTTCTATGAAATAGATTTTTACATAGTAATGGTGAAGGTGAACTAGTTATATATGTGTGTATTATTTGAGACTTTTTCATCCTAGTTATATGACTTATATTACATACCTTCTAATGTCAAAATTTACAGTCAAGCCACCCTTTATAAAAATTACAATACAAATAATCAAACTTACGACTAAGTGGGTGGGATGTTCCTCTCCATGGTCATATTGAACCCTTTGCATGGAGTGATCCATTGATGAGCAGTGGTGCTAACACCAGTGAACATGAATATAGATAGTTGACAGGAAACTGATTGTTATGAAAAGATAAGGTAGTAGTTCTCATGAGACCCTTTGGACACATAAAATTTTTAGAGTTGTGAAGTATCATAAGGAAAAAAACTTAGCTCCTCCTTTTACAAATATAAAAATGATTAAGTGAAAAAATATGAAATTTGCATAAAGCATCAATTAAAATAGGGTCTACTAAATTCCAAAATGACTGTTTTCTTCTGTATAACTTTGACAGTCATGACATGGAAATCTGTAAATTAAATGCCAAATTTTTAATGTTTATATAATTATCAGAAACATATCTCTTTTTTTAAGTGAGAGATACTATATTGGTTTTAAAAGTAAATTTCCATTTTTAGTAGATAATTTGTGTTTCTAAGATTATTATTTTTGGAATACATTAAAATTAGATCTTCAGAATGAGATGAGATCATAAAAGTCATTAATTACTTTATTTGGCATTATCCAAATTATTTTACATAAACTGTAGAAAGAGTATATTTTTATGTTTCACAGGTGACTATACATTCTTTAGACCAAAATGTCAGAAGATTACATTATCTGAGTTTTTAACAATTGAGTTATTACCCTTTAACTTAAGGTTAAATATAATTCCTTACTTATACGTTGTAAAAAAGATCATTATGCATGGTTTGTATTTCTTTACAGTCTCAGTGCGCCCAATATGCTGCTGACAGAAGAGAGGAAGAAAAGATGTGTGACCACCTGATCAGTGCAGCTAAACACCGGGATCACGTGACAGCGAATCAACTGAAACAGAAGATTCTCAACATTCTCACAAACAAGCACGGAGCATGGGGAGCAGTTTCTCATAGGTGAGTCGTAATAAGTTAGAAGTCAATAATAACTTGTAAGTTACTGATAATAGTTGGAAATAAAGTATGACTATGAATTGATCAGTTATTTAGAAAATATAATTTAAAATGTGAAAAATTGCATGACTATGTTTCTTGACACCTTTCATAATGCTTGACTAGAAGGGTTTAAAAGAAAATCTAAACTTTTTAAAGTAGCTACAATGGAAGTTATTGTTAATTTATAATAATATGTAATATAATACAAAATCTGTTGAGACAGTCTCACATATGTAACATGGATGTTAGAGATAAGAAATGGCTCTTTTTCAAAAAAAATCTTTTAGTGTTAACTCTTCTTATTCAATTTGTATCATTCCTAATTTTTCTTATGCACACATACACATTAGCACTTGCTACGGAGAAGTATTATGTTCTTTTTAAAATTTTTCTTACATAATTTTTTATTCATTTTAACTAGGAAGGATATTTTATCACAAATCAGGTTGCTTATGATCTTATAATACTACTAAAACTAAAGCTGGTTGTTTACAAATTTGACAAGTTCTGCTTCCCAATGTTTTCTGGGCATTAAATTCATTGGGATTTGTTTTTTGTTTTGGATTTTTTCTACATGATTAAGTTTCCTTGAAAACTGGTGATGAAGCAGGTTACTATATTTAGATTGCTGATGTTCTTCATTTTTATATCTTTGTTTTATTTGAACCTATCAAATGTTTTACTAAATCTGTGCCTGGCACAGTTTGGGGTTGGTGAAATGTAGACAGGACACTCCTAAGAAGAGCTTTGGTGTAGTGATTCTGTTAGAGAGGAGCATCTGGGGTATGACCAGGAGTGTAGTTCTGACCATCTGTTTTGGGATTTCAAGTGTGAAATAGATAGATTTAAGAAAACTATTATTTTTGCATTTAAGGTAAAATTATAATGTATTATCTTTTGAAATGGTCAACTGTTAATATTTATTACAATCATAACAATAACCCATGACATCTAACATTTGATGAATATTTATTGTGTGCCAGGTACCACACTACAAATGTTACATGGATTATTTCATTTAATCTTCAGAATATCACTATTAAGAGTAATACTGAGATTTTTGTCTTTTTTGTTTGTTTGTTTGGCTGGGGCTGGGTTTGAACCCTCCACCTCTGGCATATGGGGCTAGCACCCTACCCTTTTGAGCTACAGGCACCACTCAGATTTTCATCATTTTATAAGGAAGAATCTGAAGCTTTCAGAGGTTAAATAAAACTTACATTGTATCACACAGCTTATACAAATAGAGGCAAAGTGTATCAGTCAGGGTTTTCCCGAGAAACACAGAAACATAACCAATGTTTATATACATAAAATAAATTTATGTTAAGGAATTTTCTTGTGTGTTTGTGGGGCTGGTAACTATGATATCTCTAGGACGGTCTTGCATACAAGACTTTCATGTTACAGGAAACCCCAGTTTTTCCTACAGCCTTCGCCTGATTGAATGAGCCCCATCCACGTTACTCAGGGTCATATCCTTTACTTAGAGTTAACTGGTTGTAAATGTTAGTATGTTCACCACAATAGCAAGTGTTTGACTAAACAACTGGGCACCATAGCCTAGCTAGCTTGCCATAAATTTTAACCATTACATAGACTAGTAAGAACATGAGCATTTTACCCATTTATATACCTTGTTTTCCTTTTTGCATCTTCTGAATTGGATTTAGCTACTCAGTTATAAATAGTCAGGATTGTAACATTATATTGCTAATAATATAGCTGGTATGATTCAAGATATTGCATTAAATGTGTAATTATATAAATCCATGCATGATTTGAGTTTTAGTTATTTCCTAGTGTAATTAGAATATAGTGAAAAGACAGTGACCTCTGTAGCAAGAGGAATGTGGTAACAGGTCAGATAGATCCTCTGATAGTGGGTTTTGATGTGTCATTATATTGACAGAGTGTCATGACCCCTCAGAGGAGCAAGTGTCTTCCACCCTTTCCTATGCCTTGAATTCTAGTGCTGATTAATGGAAGAAGCACACACTATTTTTGTGATCATCCTATACTGTGACATGGAAATCTAAACATTTAAGCATAGGTTTTATTTTATATAATCATTAATGTTTGATTAGTAGGATTCAATCTTTGGGCCGCCTTTCTTGTTTATCTTGTTCACTCTTTACAGATTTTAGCTAGTCTCATAGCTTAAAAATACTACCAAATGTTGATAACTCCCAAATTGATTCTCTAGAGTCCAGATCTCTCCCCTGTCTCCAGTCTTCCATGTCCATCTGCCCACTTGGCATCTTCCACTTGGTTATTTACAGGTTCCTCACATTTAAGATGTCAACACTCCTGTGATTTCTAAACCAGTTTCCCTTGCACTTTTCTCCATCTCAGCCAAGACAACTTCATTGTTACAGTTGCTCTATACACATTCCCTGCTGAGCCCTTCAGCAAGTCTGACTGTGCCAATACAGCAACAGTGACCAACACAACTTTCTATAATAATGAAAAGATTCTGTGCAAATATGGTAGCTACCAGCCTCATGTGTCTACTGAGCACTTGAAATTTGGCTGTGATCACAGCACTAAATTTTTAATTAAATTTAATTCTCACCATTGCTGTTGATCACCTGGTTTAGGCCACCATCATTTCTCTCTTGACTTATTACACCAGCATTATGTGTAGTTTTACTGGTTTTGTTTTTGTCCTCCTCAAGTCCATTAGTCAGCACAACATCCTCGGCTTTTATTAAAATGTAGTTCCTCTGCTCAGAAACCTCCATAGCTGTTCCATCCCAGACTATATCTACCAGTCATATGTGGCTATTCAAATTTGATTAATTAAAATCAAATTTAATTAAAAATTTAGCACCTCAGTCACAGCCGTATTTCAAGTACTCAGTGACACATGAGGCTGGTGGATGCTGTAATTAGCCCAGAATCTTTTCATTATTATAGCAAGTTGGTTTGGCCACTGTTATTCTAGTTTTTCAACCTTTTTTTTTTTTAAAGACAGAGGCTCACTTCATTGCCCTCAGTAGAATGCCATGATGTCATAGCATTTCGCCTATACTTGGTGTATGTCCTTTCCGACAGTGATGACACTGTTGGTGGAACAATAGAAGTTAGTCCATTGAGAATAGTTTCATATTAAGTGAAATAATGATACTAAATGACAAAAACTACTTAACCCCTGCATAAAATCAAAGTGATAGAGTCAACAGCACATTAAAACAGTGGTTTACATGGGTGTCCCTATGAAAGTTGTGAGACAGACGGTGTTATGCTCCATCATTTCACTTCCAAGAAACATGGTCAGCAGATACTTTCTGACGCGTGCTTGCAGGTTTCAACTGGCTCAGCTCGTTGGTGTTACACAGATTTTACATTCCTTGATTTTTATGTATCTCACAACTTTTGTAATGACCCATGTATAAATCTGATAGCATTTTCACAAAAAAGTTTAGTGGCATATTTTCCTATGCCACTAAAATCCCCCTTTAATTCATGATTCTAACTGGAATCATGAATTTCTCAAAAAGATAAGAAAATATATTAACAACAAAAGTTACTGTTGAGTGCTATTATTCTGTGATATTACAGATTTGATTGTTATATAAATTACCCATTTATGCCTACAGTAGATGTTCTTAGTATAGAATGATGCTCTAGATTTGTAAATGCAAGAAAAATATGGCCCTGTGTATCACTGCTAATCACCAACAGTATTGTTACAGTGCCATTGTGCACATAAGAATTTTTATGTCGTATTTAGGAGGAATGGAAAGGTATTCTTCCATCGTAGAGTCACCATTATTTTTATTGGAGTTCATCCTGCTGAACCTCTCGACTGTATTTGATAGTCTTCTTCAAACTCTCTACTCTCTAATCCAGGAGTCCTCAAACTATGGCCTGCGGGCCACATGCAGCCCACCTAGGACATTTATCCAGCCCACCAGGTGTTTTTGCCACCACTGCCTGTCCTGCTTAGCAGCCAACTCTTCTCAGGGCCTGCAGTCCGGCCCTCCAATGGTCTGAGGGACAGTGAACTGGCCCCCTGTTTAAAAAGTTTGAGGACCCCTGCTCTAATCTTTGTTTCCCTCCTACCCCTCTGGCCTCAGTTCTGCCGGGTACCTTGTGGGCTCACTCCCCTGCAGCCGTCCTGGCCTCTGCCTGTCTGTGAGGAGGCCCACAGGCAGTTTCCTTCTCCTGGCATATGCGAATAGATCCTTGTTCACATGTCCTCCTTGGAACAGACTTCCTTGACCATTCTATCAAAAATAGCAGACCTCTTTACCTGCTCTTCACCCCCCAAATTATCTCCATTTAGTGTTCATAGCACTTAGCACCTAGCATATAATTTAAGTGTTTTAATTATTTATTTTTACCTGATAATATGGACTTTTTTTGTACTGCAGCATCCCTGGTTCGTAGAACTCTTTACATAATAAATGTATTTTAGTACATTTAATATTTAGTACATATAATTTAAGTGTTTTAATTATTTATTTTTACTGATAATATGGACTTTTTTTGTACTGCAGCATCCCTGGTTCGTAGAACTCTTTACATAATAAATGCAAATAAAATACATATTTTTTCAAACAAATGTTTCCATGAAAATTGCCATACATATTATCATGATACCATGTGTAGATGGCATATGAGTTTTGATAAAATTATCCTCCCGTGTATAATGTGAGTTTCATAATCAACATTAAGAGCTCAATTATTAACTCTGTCAATTGTTAGCTACATAATCTTAACAAATGATTATACTTCCCAATGTTCAAGTTTCCTCAACAGGAAATGTAGGTGAACAGTTTCTACTAAATTGGATTATTTTAATGGAAACATTAAAATAAATGCAAAATGATTAACCAGATATCTGACACATAATAGAGATCAATACTTGTTAGTCTCTTTTTTTAGTAGTCTACTCTTTGCAAAGAGCCTTTAAAAAATATTTTCCTATGCCACTAAATCACCCTTTAATTTGC